ACACTGTTCAAAGTTTCTTTGAAAACTCTTACTGTGACCCCGTAAGCTGGTTGTGATGATGCACACCTTTAATCCCAGTACCCAGAAGGCAAAGGCAGTTGATCTATATGTGTTTGAGGCCAGCTATGGTTTGCATAGTGAGTTCCAGGCTAGCCAAGGTGGTGGTTTATACTACTTGTCACCTTAGAAGTATTTCAGATAGCAAATTATCTGCTTTCCTATTTATAATTTAAAGCAGAAGAAATTAGAAATACTAAATGACACATAAAATAATCAGTAATGATTAAAAAAAATACGTCTTTTCCTTTCTATTGGATTTCTAGCTAGAGTTGGTCCTGTGTAACCGAAGATGACCTTGAACTGCTGATCTTCCTGCTTCCACCTCCCGGTGTTGGGATTACAGTTGTGCACCACCATACCTGCTTAGTGTAGTGCCTTGTGCATGTTAGGCATGCACTCTACCAAGGAAGCTACATTCCTAGCCAAAAAATATATTTTCTGAAGATTAGCTTTTCCTTTGTGTTATATTCTAGTTATCTTAGTATTATTAGTATTAATTATTGATAGTGGAAGAAAAGTTAGATGCATGTGGGTAGATCTTATAGCCATATTCCCTAGTTTTTCTCACAGAGCTGGAAAAGTTTCAGGATAAAATCAGTGGATCAAAACGTAGTCCACCTTACCCTCTGTGGGTAGTTAACTAGTGCTGATTCCTTGTCCTGGGGGTACACTGCATAAATCTTTCCCCTTGCTGGTCTCATTGGCTCAATTAGATAAACTGGGATTACCAAATACAAGAGTTTGTGTTGGGTCCCTGCTTGATAAAGTGCAGATTATTTGAATTTTGCTTCCATCTTGACTAATTTTGTGTTGCTCTGTTTTCAAGTACATTATTTTTTTTCTGGAAAGTCTATTGTTCCAATACAATGTTTTGGGTTTTTTCTCACATTATAGTTTTCATATACTAGCTTGATTTAACACACACACACACACACACACACACACACACACACACACACACACACACCTAGACATATGGTTTATTTTGTTTACAGAGCTGGGACCTTCAGTCCCAGCACTTGGGAGACAGAGGCAGGTGGATGTCTCTTGAGTTTGAGGCCAGCCTGATCTACAGAGCGAGTTCCAGTACAGCCAGAACTGTTAAACAGAGAACCCTGTCTTGGGGGGGAAAAAGATATTTAGTCAGGTATGGTGGTGCATGCCTTTAATTCCCAGCATTTGAGAGACAGAAGCAGAGGCAGGAGATCTCTGAGTTCCCTGTGCTCCTTTCCAACATTTATATCTCTATACTTAGGAAGGAAGGACCTGTAGTCTTTAACCGAGCTTTAATATGATTGGTAGGCAGTTTGTGGGTTCTGAACATGGTCATCTGTAATCACAAGGCACTTCTTTTTCTGGATCCTGGCAGTTTCCTAACATACACAAAGTACTGATTAGTTAGTTTTCATGTGACCATTAGAGTCGGATCCCTGCAGGTCTCCAGAGAGTTTCTGAGCTGCTCTGTTTTAATTCTCTGATGTCTCAGGGATGGCACCAGGTTTGCCCTCCTTATATTGAAGCCTTAATACTTGAGGAAGGAAATTGATTGTTCTTCACTGACAGTGTCCATTATCTCGAGACCATATATATATATATATATATATATATATATATATATATATTTTTGGTACACACCTTGATCCCAGCACTGGAGAGGCAGAGGGAGACAGATCTCTATGAATTTGAGGCCAGCCTCATCTACATAGTGAGCTTCCAGGCCTGCTAGGGGTATGTAATGAAACCCTGTCTCAAAGAGAAGTTTCAAGGAAGAAGGTACACCTTTGCCTATCATTATCTCGTTGACAAAGGGAAGGCCATGCCCTAGTCTGTTGACAGGTACATATGCACATTTGTGAGAATGTGTGTGAGGCCAAAGGTCAATGTTAGGTATTTTCTTCAATGCTTCTCCATCTTATTATTCTTTAATACTAGACTATCTTTTGAAATAAATTTATAATAAAAACACTTCCAAATAAAATAAACATTACACACTAAAATTAAGGAGACGCAAAGTCTATACAATTCAGTGAACTTTTTTTTTTATAGACAGGATTTTTCTGTGTAACAGTCCTGACTGTCCTAAAACTCACTTTGTAGACCAGGCTGGCCTTGAACTCACAGAGATCCATCCATTTGCCTCTGCCTCTTAAGTGCTGGGATCAAAGGTGTGTGCCACCACTGACTGGCCCTAACTCATTGAACTTTTATACAGTTAGAATAGACATTTAAATGGAAGCTGTGGAGCTTCACATTAGATTTTAAATTTTCATTATTGAATATATTTTATGTACTTATCCTCTTTCATAACTCTTGTCTTTCATAACTGAATTACTTGTATCAGTCCTTCCTCATTCTCTAATATTTAGCCTTTCTTGTTGTCTTTATATTATGCTGTACCTCCATGTACATTTGTTTGTACATATAAATATATTGACTGGATTCTTCCTATGAGAAAGAACATGTAATTTTTTTCTTTCTGAGATTGTGTGACCTTGCTTAATATTACATATTTAAAATCCATCCATTTTTCCTCAAATTTTTAAACTACCATTTTTCTTTAGAGCCAGATAGTACTCATATATTTTTCCCAGATTACCATTATCTGTTCATTTGTTGATGGGTAAATAGGTTGATTCCAATTCTTTGCTATAATGAATAAACTTGGAGATGCAACTATCTCTATGGGAGGTTATGTCATTCTCTGGGTGTATGCCTAGGAGTAAAATAGCTGTATCATATGGTAGCTCTATTTTTAATTTTGAGAAATATGCAAATTGATTTCCACAATGCCTATGTTAATTTGCACCCCTACTGACAGGGAATAAGTGTTGTCTGTGACAGCCATTCTAATTGGGGTAAGGTGGTATCTCAAAGTAGTTTTAATTTGCATTTTCCTGATGGTAAGGGATATTGAATACTTTTTAAAAATAGTTATTGGTCATTTGTGTTTCCTAAAACAACAAAACAAAAACTATCTATTCAGTTAATTCGCCCATTTGTTGATTGACAGTTTTATTTGCATAGTATTTGATTTCTATAATTTTTTTGTAAGTATCTTGAAGGGTATCCCCATATTTTCTTCAAAAGTTTTCAGTGTTTCTGGCCTAAGTTAAGTTCTTTGATCCATTTTTGAATTGATTGTTTTTGTACAAGATACAAATCTAATTTCATCTTCTGTAGGTAGAAGTCCAGTTTTACCAGCACCATTGGTTGAACAGGTTCTGTTTTCCAAAGTATGTTTTTACCTCATTTGTCAAAAAATTAACTTGGTTTAGCTTTGTCATCTTATTTCCAGGTCTTCTAGTCTTGATCTACCTGTCTGTTCTATGTCAGTACCAGATTTTCTTTATCACTATAGCTCTGTAGTAGAATTTGAGGATGGTATTTATTATAATAATACCCCTAGTAATGTTCTTGGTTTCATGTGAATTCTTGTATTTTCTGTAAACCTGTGAAGGATGGCACAGAAAATTTTGGTTGATTGTATAAACTAAGTAGTGTAAACATTTTCAGAATATTAATTGTGCCATCCCAGGAAAATGGACTCAACAAATTGAGCTTGTTTTTTTGGCAGACTTAGTATAGTTCAGTTGCCATTGTCAATGCTTTTTGTTTATTTAAAAAATGTTTGCCCAAGTTGGGCATGATTGTGCTTATCTGTAATCTCAGTACTTGGGAAGTTCAGGCAAGGAAGAATGCAAGTTCAAGGCCAGCATCTCTACATAGTGAGACACTGTCTCAAAAAAAAAAAAAAAAAAAAAAAAAAAAAAAAAGGGAGGATGGCAGATAAATTTGGTTGTTTACACAGATGTTTTGCTGTACACCTGCCCCCAACACTTAGATCCTGCAATTTTCTTCTTTTTAGACATTTAGTGCACATTTAGCCTGTGTGTGTGTGTGTGTGTGTGTGTGTGTGTGTGTGCGAGAGAGAGAGAGAGAGAGAGAGAGAGAGAGAGAGGTGGGGAGGGAGAGGAAGAGAGGTCTGAGGACAGCTTTTGAGAGTAAGTTCTGTTCTTCTACCATGAGGGTTCCCAGAATCAAACACAGGTCCTCAGACTTGGCAGCAAGAGCCCTAATTCAGTGAATCATCATCTTGCTGGTCCCTAAAATATATACTTTTGTGAATGGTGTAAATTAGTGTTTTTTGCAAGGAAAAGATTTGATAGTCAATCTCCAGCAATTTAAATAACCTATCCAACATCTTAAAGATAATTAGTGGGATAATTGATGCTCAAATTTGAGACTTTGTGTCTCCAAAATAATGTTTTTTTCTTGGATATGCTAAAGGTGCACAAGTATGCTCGTTATTACAGAATGTATCAGGGTCAGGTGAGCTACAATGAGTAAGTAAATGTGTTTAATGCACAAGTGTCAGGAACCTAAGTTCATTGTAAAAAGCCAGATCTTTATGCCTGTGTCGGGAATCTCGGTGCTGAGAGGGACATGATCTATGTCCATCTGCTGATAGAAGACAGGTAGGTCTCTGGGGCTTGCTGGCTGCCAGCCTAACCAAAAAGTGGTAAAGCTCCATATTCACTATTGTATGAAGGGGATAAGGTGGGAAGCAATAGAGGCAGATTAACTCTTGTCTTTCACATGATCTTGTATGGATGCATGCAGCCTCACACACATGGATACGTGCACCATCAGTGCTTGCAGACACACAAAAATGAAGAACTGTCTTATGAGTTGTGTTGTTTAAAATATTTTGTGTAGCTGGGCATCGGTGGCACACTACTTTAATCACAGCACTCAGGAGACAGAGGCAGGTGGGTCTCTGTGAGTTCAAGACCAGCCTGGTCTACAAGAGCTAGTTCCAGGACAGCCTCCAAAAGCCACAGAGAAACCCTGTCTCGAAAAACAAACAAACAAACAAAAAATTGTGTTATGTTCTTGAGAATATTCTTACTATTTGATTTTTTTATTTTTATTTTTTATAGAGTTGGAAAATATTTAACTCTCAACAAATGAATTCCACACTTGAACTCTGCCGCATTCCTGTGCCACCTCCTCCTTTAGAAAACTGATCTTAAGACAGGTAAAATTATGACCTTAACTTTTTAAGCAATGAAGACTAAATTTCCCATATGATTAATCGTGTTAAGAATTTTTGGTAATCTTTGGTGAGTAGCTTTATTTATTATAAGGTTTACTTGAAATAATCACATCTTCGTACTTTTGAATTCAAATTTTGAATTATTTTAGTAATTGCATTTAACAAATGTGTTATCTGAATTTTACTTCTGTTTATTTATTTAGCACAATTGTGCTATTAGGGTACATCAGGATCACTGTTGTCCAAAGCAACTTTTGTGACCATGGCTGTGTTCCTTTTCTGTTCTGTCTGATATAGGAAAATAACCACATGTAGCTTCTGAGTATTTGACATTTGGCTAGAGCAAATAACCTGCTGTTTCTAGTGCTTATTAGTAATGTACGAAATATATAAAATCAAAGCCACGTGTTGTTTTGTTTGCCTGGAAGCCCATTACTTGGGAGAATTAGGACTCATATTGACAAGGTTCAAAATAGGACCAGGAAACAAGAAAACTTGCAAAGATATTGCTTGTGCTACATGGAGTCTGACACTAGATCCAGCATCCTGATGAAAAGCTGCTGTGTTTTATGAAGTCTCCAGAATGGCTGCAAGCAAGGAGCCTCAAGGCCACTAGCCTTATATACCCATGCCAGCTAAAACTGAGTAGATACAGATATAGATTTGCCATCACAGAACCTAGCAATCACATGTTGCAGACTTGAATGCCCATGTTGTGGGGAGTAGTCACACAGAATTCAAAATTCAGCTTGACTGAGGACTGACACTGATTGTGTATGTGTTCCTTTACCATCTCCCCACCCTATGAGGAATAATGAACTTAGTTGGGATGGTGTCCTAAGTTAGTTCTGTGTCTGTATGAATCTACATTAGGAGAGCAGGATAACCAACATTAGGTTCTCAAGCATTACAGAAAATACTAGTTTTTGGAGTATACAATAGTTTTCCGTATGAAGTGATGTCACCAGTACAGCTGTCCAAGGTGCATTCTGTTAGATCACAGAACCTCTAGCTCCCCGCCCCCCAAATCAGGCCACAGCTCCTTACAGCTCAACTGAGGGGATAAGTAAGCCCAGCCCTCCCCCTTGAAGCTACAAGGTAAATTTACCCAGGACTAAATCATACTAAAACTTCTGTTACTCCCTGAAAAACTTAGAAAAGTCAAGATGCCCATTGTCTCTCTCTTTCAGCCCCCTACACATACATACCCCACCCAGCCCTCACAGCCACATTATCGTCTATCTTACTGTTTTACTCTAAGCAGTATTTCTTAATGAAGTTCCTCTCTGGTCTTTAAAAATATGTATTAATTTATTTGCTTGCAGGGGGTGGGGTGTCTGATAGTCATAGTACAGTCTTTGGCTGTCAGTTCTCTTCCTTCCAAGGTGGGCTTTAGAGGTTGAACTCAGGACTTCAGGCTTGGCAGCAAATGCTTTTACCCACTGAGCCATCTCTCTGACCCTCTCCAGGTTTTGGAAAGGAACCCTCCCTCTCCCTCAAGGCCCCGGCATTTGTTTTGGATATGATGTTTTGTCTCTCCTACTTACTCTCACATTCAGGACTGATCATTCAACCCCTATGAGCATGAGACACTCTGAATAAAGATCATTCTGGAGAATAATTAGTCTCAGCTTTCTTCATAAAATAACTGAACCTACATTAAAAAAAAAAAAAAAGAATAATGCAGGTTCCCGAGAAGGCCACAGGCATCAGATTCCTCTAGAGTTAGAGTTCTGGGCATTTATGAGCCACTTGACATGGGTTCTGGGAACCAAATTCAAGTCTTCTGCAAGAGCAGTATGCTCTCATGACTTCTGAGCCATCTCTCTAGTTCGCCACACCCAATGTTTACTATAATACAGAATAGGTCTAATTTCTGTCTTTCCCAGAGCAAGAAATACATTTTATTTGAATTAATTTAAATAGTCATTTTCAGTTTAGAGTGACTGTATCAGATAGTACAGTCTTGCCTTAGGGAATTTAGTCTTTTCCATAGTAGCTGCCTAATCTAAGTTGTGGATGTACACTTTGAAATGTCTTCATAATTTTTTTCCAGTTTTGGGTGGGAGTTAGGGAGGGTATGAGACAGGGTTTCTCTGTGTAGCCTGACTGTCCTAGAACTATCCTTGGAGTCCAGGCTGGCCTTGACCTCAGAGATCTGCCCACCTCTTCCTTCCAAGTGCTGGGATTAAAGGTATGTGCCACCTTGCCTGGGCCAATTTTTTTTAACCCAGTTTAAGAATTGGAAGTCTGGCTAGAGATGGCTACTCTTCCATAGGGCCTAGGTTCAATTCCCAGCACCCGAATAGCAGTTCACAACTCCAGGGGATCTGACACCCCCATAAAGACATTTAAAAACAGGAAAAGCTCGGAGAGGAAGAGACTTTTCTTACAAGAATTAAATCTTAAAAAAAGTTTGCAGTAAGATATTACTGTCTCATATGTTACACTGGTGACTCTATAGTTTTGTATGTGTATATATTTTGAGTGGGGGGGTTGAGACAGGGTTTCTCTGTGTTGCTTTGGAGCCTGTCCTGGCACTCACTCTGTAGACCAGGCTGGCCTGAAACTCACAGAAATTCACCTGCCTCTGCCTCCCTGAGTGCTGGGATTAAAGGCATGCACCACCACCTGGCCATTTACCTATATTTTTGATTTCCCGTGAAACCCTTGAGAGCACTTATTTTCTTTTAATCCCTTGTTGTATCCTTAGTATTTTATTCAACAATATTTTCAATAATAGACCATTAATAATTATTCTGGAATAAAAATGCTGCTTGAGTTGTCAAAACTTAAAAATTGTTACAGCTAACATGAAGTATATGTGCCAATCAACTATTCTAAGACCTTGTGTGTTATTTATTCTGCTAAGAAAAAAATCTTGTCAGTTGGGTCTGGTGGCAGCATGCCTTTGGTCCCACCACCAGACAAGCAAAGACAGGAGGATCTCTGTGATTCAAGGTCAGCCTGATCAACATGCTGAGTTTCAAGTCAACTGGGGCTTCACAGTGAGACCTTGTTTCAAAATAATAAAACAAAAACAAAAAACTTTTATCATAGATACTTCCATTGTCCTCATTTTGAGGTGACAACGAAGTAACTCTTCCAAAAATGCATGTTTAATGGGCCCAAATTCTCTTTAAGCCATTATGATGTATTGGCACTTGTGTTCTTACTCTGTGCTGGGATCAGTCAGTGTCTTTTGCATGCTAGGCAAGCATCTTACCAGCTGAGCCACATCATGAGCCCTAGCTCTTTTTTCTGAAGCAGGGATTCATAGTTTTGCTTAGATCTCAGAACAGTCTATGAATGTACACTCTTCATAGCCCCACCCACATGTAAGAGCCTTGTTTTCTATCTTTTAGCAGAATTCGTATATTTGTAGATTCACTTTCTCAGTATTTTAGTTTTTTTTCATTATAAGACAAGTCAAGCGGTAACAAAATAGATGAGTAATGTAATGAAGTTTGTGTACTGTTTACTAAACAAAATGGCTAGCAACTTAAGGTCAGTCATATTTTATTTATATTCAATGCAAGGGGCGCAGGAGATGACTCAGTGGTTAAAACTGCATGTTGCTCTTGCAGAAAACAGAGTTTGGTTCCTAGCTCCCACAACTGGCGCTTCATAACCACTTGTAACTCCAATTCCAGGGAATCTGATGCCCTTTTTTGTTGGCCTCTGAGGGTACATGATCATAAACACCATGACTAAAAGTGTCCATCATTGAGGGAAACAAGATAGGAATTCAAGGCATGAGCTTGAAGCAGAAACCCAAGAGAGGAATGCTGCTTTTTCTGGCTTGTCTGGAGTCTCACATTTAGCTACTTTTCTTACACTTTCAAGGCCTACCTGCCTAGGAATGGTGACTACCCCCAGCAGTGGGCTGGATTCTCTTCCATCAATTAACAGTCAAGAAAATACCCCACAGACAACAGCCACAGACCGTTTTGTCAGAGGCTGTTCTTCAGTTGAGGTCCCTTCCTGTTTCACACAATGCCTTCAACATCCAGTATCTTAGGGTTTTATTGCTGAGAGAAGATACTGTGACCACAGTAACTCTTATAAAAAAAGAAAACATTTAATTGGTGCTGGCTTACAGTCCCAGAGGTTTAGTTCATTGTCATCTTGGCAGGAAACTTGGCAGAATGCATGCAGACAGACAGACGTGCTGGAGAAGGAGCTGAGAGTTCCACATCTTAATCCAAAGGCAGCAGAAGTGAAAACTGTGTACTGGGTATAGCTTGAGCATGTAAAAGACCTCAAAGCCCATGCCACAGTGACATACTTTCTCTAATAAGGCCACACCTACTCCAACAAGGCCACAACCCTAATAGTGCCTCTCCCTATGGACCATAATTCAAACATAGGAGCCTATGGTGGCCTTATCTATTCACACCATCACACTCAGTCAGTGATTATGAACCACTAAAGGATCCCCCATTACTTTAAAGCAAACCCCAAGCATTTCATTGCTAAATATTTCAGTGTGTGTTGTGTCTCTAAGGACTTTTTACAAAAGTACAAGAAAAAAAATTGTACCATTATTAAATATAAAAATAAACTTTGAGCAGGGCATAGTGGCACACTCCTTTAATCCCAGCACTCCAGGATCGTGGCAGGAGCAGGTAGATCTCTGAGTTCAAGGCCAGCCTGGTGTGCAGAGTGAGTTCTTGGACAACCAGGACTGTCACACAGAGAAACCCTGTGGGGAGGGGGGGGGCTTAGCTTTGGGTGTGGTGGCACATGCCATTATAATCCCAGTACCCATTATAATCCTGGTAGATGATGGGTCTCTGATTTTGAGGCTAATCTGGTCTAAGTAGTGAGTTCCAGGCCATCCAGAGATATACAGTGAGACCCTGTCTTTAAAAAAAAAAAAGTCATATTTTGGTTATATTTTTACTTTTTGAGGCAGTATTGGTAGGTAGTCTTGAATTCATGATTCTCCTGCCTCTGCCTCTTCATGCTGAGTGATAGGATTATAGGTCTCTGCTACCACATTTGACCCTTAATTCTTTCTTTCTTTGGGTTCCCCCTCCCTGAGATCAGGCTGTTCTGGAACTTACTCTGTAGACCAGGCTGGTCTTGAACTCAAGAGATCCACCTGCCTCTGCCTCCTGAGTGCTGGGATTAAAGGCATCAGCTACCACCACATGGCTTCCCTTATCATTTTTGATTTTGGATTTTATTTGAACAAGTGCATCAATATATTTTAAGAGATTTTGCTGTTAGAAAATAATGGCATATCTTACTCTATTTTTTTCTATTCCTTATTATTAGCAGTCAGTATAGTGCTCCTTCATACACATATTTTAAAGTCCTTTGTGGGGGACGGGGGCTGGAGAGATTGCTCAGTGGTTAACACTGACTGCTCTTCCAGAGGACCCTGGTTCAAATCCCAGCACCCACATGGCAGTTTAAAACTGTAACTCTGGTTCTAGGGGATCTGTGACACATTCATACCAATGCACATAAAATAATAGGTCAAAAAAAATAAAGCCCTTGTGGAATTTAAATTAGAAATCTAGTGTGAAGGAGATTAACATGAAAGAATAGTATGGGGGAAATATGATTAAGGTTCAGCATCATATATATATGGAAATGTCATAATGGAACCAATTTTTTTGTTCAAGTAATTCTCATTAATATTTTTTAAATCTAATGTGCAATTTGACAGGAACTGTCTTTTTTGGGTGGGGGGGGTGATTTTTAAGACAGGGTTTCTCTGTGGCTTTGGAGCCTGTCCTGAAACTAGCTCTTGTAGACCAGGCTGGTCTCGAACTCACAGAGATCCTCTTGCCTCTGCCTCCCGAGTGCTGGGACTAAAGGCTGGGACTAAAGGACTGCCAGCCAGAAGCTATCTTTTTTTTTTCATTCATGTATTTGGTTTATAAATAAAGTCATGCACAATTATGATACAGAATACAGTATGTTCACAATGGCATGGCTAAATTAAACCATTAACATGTTATATCACACATATTCATCATTTTTGTTTTGAGAACACGTAAAGTATACTATCTCACAACTTTTAAAATATAGCATATTGTTATCAACCATATTTATCATGCTCTCAGTAGACCTCAAGACTTCAGAGAGTCCATGCCTCTTGTCCAACTGCAGTTTTATATCCTTAAACCAATCCTTTCCCCATTGTTAAAAGTCCTACATTGAAGCCTAATAGCCACAATTCTGCTCTCTGTTCCCATAAGTTCATCATTTCTAGGTTACACATAAAATTGAAATTGTGTGACATTTGTCTTCAACTTTCCAGGTTCTGCAGTCCTTTGAACAAAATTGTAGAGACATCCAGCACACTACATTAAAAAAAAAAAACAAAAAACAAACAAAAACAAACAAACAAACAAACAACAACAACAACAAAGTAAAAAACAGAATCCCAGAAAACAGCACAGTTCTGTTACTCTTGTGGTACTTGGCACCATTTTTTTTTTTAAATAAGTTTCTCAGTCATCATCTGGGAGGAAACCATTCTGAGCAACATCATTAAAAACAGCTCTGATAAAGCATGGTCACTACTATGTATCATAAAGCAGGTCCACATTTGAGTGAGTTCGTATCATGTTTGTCTTTTTGTGATTGGGTTACCTCGCTCAGAATGGTTTCTTCGAGTTCCATCCATTTTCCTGCAAATTTCAAGATTCCATTGTTTTTTTCTGCTGAGTAGTACTCCATTGTTTAAATGTACCACAATTTCTCTATCCACAGAAACTATCTTTTTAATAAGGGAACTTCTTTGCAATTATTTCATAGACAGCCCTGCTTCCTCAGGTTCTATTTTTTGTTAGTTTTGTTTTTTCTTATTCCTTCCTTTGGAGTGACAAAGAAAGCTTTGTTTTTTTGTTTTCATTTTAAAATACAGTGTATCCTACTTTTATTCAAATTTAAATATGTTAGACTATACTCAGTGGCAAACACTTAATAGTTGAGCATATATTTGTTTCCAGGCTTTAAAAGGTAATCTTTAATTGGAATTATAATTTACAAACTATTATTCAGTTTGATTTTGCTAGTTAGACATTTTTCCATCTTAGAAAATTTAGGACTCTGCTTTATTTGCATAATGCATATATTGATAGCAGTTTGCCAACTATATGACCCTTGCTTTTTCTAGATTTGATGTTTACATTTTGTTACAGGATTTATTCTGTCATGCATAACTTGCTCTGTGTATGTGTTTTCAATAATGTAATTTGATTTCACTAGGCCACTTCAGTTTTCAGCTTTTAGTTTTGTTTTTTATAGGGTCTTGCCATGTAGCACAGGCTTGTCTTAGAACTCACTATGTAGCTCAACTTGACCTCCACAGTTCTCTTGCCTCTACCTCCTCAGTACTGAGATTATAAATATATCCAATTTAAGGATGCCTTCTTTGCCACTTGAAGTGGAGAAAATATGAAAAGCATGAAGACAATGAGTTTTTGATACATCATTTAAAAACAGAATTTTTCGTTGAGAAGTTTTAATTGCACTCCAAACTGAGCAGAAGCCTCTATCCAAAATGCAGACTAAACTAGTTTCTTGGTTAGTAAGATGGACACATTATGTATCTTTGGTAATCTCTGTAGGTAATTATGTATTCAGGTTCTTTTCTTAAAAATTGCATTTTAGATAAAAGAAGAATAGAAGGAAGATGCTGGGGTCAGAGCGAGCTGTTGTGGAAGAATGGCTGTCAGAGTTCAAGGTAAATATGTCCAAAGTTTAATGATGGTAATGTGTTCTGTAAAGAGCCCTACAGATACGCTTTTAAGTGGAGAACTTGCAAAATATGGAATAATGCTTCCCTGTCTGTATGAATAAGGATCAAAGGAATTAGGTAGAAGTAAAATAATTGTTAGGATTAAATATATCCAATAGATGACTGGAGTCTTCAAGTTTTAATACAAATATTTGTTTTCCTGCTTTGATTTCCTACGATTAAAAGTCAAATAGGCTGGGCATTGGTGGTGCACGCCTTTAGTCCCAGCACTCGGGAGGCAGATGCAGGCGGATCTCTGTGAGTTCGAGGCCAGCCTGGTCTCCAGAGCGAGTGCCAGGACAGGCTCCAAAGCTACACAGAGAAACCCTGTCTCAAAAAATAAAACAACAACAAAAAAAAGTCAAATAGTTTTGATTGAAAACTATATAATGTACATTTGTGAAATGTGTTTTATAAAAGTATAAGTGCAGGAACTGAAATATATTCTGCTCTTTTTTAGTCTGGATTACTTTAAAGTTACTACCTGTTTCTGTGAAATCTGGCTATGATATGTAGCTTGTTACCATTTTTGTTGCTAAACAGTTATTTGTATGTTAATTACTTAATATTAATTATTTTAAATTTTCTCATTTGACTCTTATTTTAGTCAAGTAGTGTGACTATAAAATAAATTTGTTTCTTAAATTTTAAATTCATTTTGCTGTCCTTTGGTTTTATCTTAGGCATTACCTGACACTCAGATCACCAATTATGCAGCAACTTTACACCGGAAAAAAGCACTTGTACCAGCACTCTATAAAGTTATTCAAGATTCAAACAATGAGGTAGGAAAACTTTAAAAAGTAAGTTCTAAATAGTAAGATGAAATCTGTACTAAAATCACATCAATGTAAGTGTGTAGTTTTATATCTCCCTTGTGAATCTGGAAAGCTCCTCTCCTTTTTCAATCTGGTAATTGCTTTGGCTTTCCCCACTCCGCATCTTCCTACATTTGAAGATGTTCTGGTCTTTTTCTTGATGGAGATGGTGTGCTTTGGTTCTCAACTGCAGTCACCTTCTTCTCAATGAATTGTATATTTAATGTATGTTTTTTTCTTTGTGTCCTGGAATGTTCCTTCTCTGGCAAACAAGTTTTAACGGTATACTGATTCAGCCATCTTTATTTTAATATCATTTACTCTTATTTCTGTAATACTGTAGAGATATTTATAAGCACTCTAATCAGTTGTAAACTGATAACACAAAATCATTGTTTATTAAGTTTACCTGAAAATTATCAGAGGAAGTGCTTTTAAAGATCTAAATATTGAAGATCAATAAAACAGACTAACAGTTCACTGTTAATCACTCTGTGATAGAAGATGAAAGCGCAGCAACTGAATCTATCTGTTAACTTAGGCCAGATACACACAGTAATTTTGCATTAACACAGTCGTGCACCATAGAGTTTTATCCACTGGATTCATGTATGCTTTAACATGAAAATGAAAGGAACACACAGGAAAGTAGCTTCTTATCTTCCCAGATACAGCCTCCAAGAGTGCCTCTGCTGTGCACTGCAGCCAGCTGAAGAAGTAACCGTCAGGTAACAGTCTCCTAACTGGCAGCCTAACTCAAAGTGCATCTTTATTTTGTCTTCTTCTCACTAAAAGCTTGCTTATTGACCTCCTCCTTCCTGTCTCCTGTGTTTGGACTGGCTCTCAGACTTGCATCTGCTGTTATTTCTAGCAGCGGCTGCAAGAGTCATTTGCTGCTTTTTTCTCCTGCTGTGTATTGCTGAATTGTTAAAACATTAGACATGGGCTGTGTATGTGTGAGTGTGTAGATAGGTATACATACTCATACACACATAACGTTAGTCAGGGGTATTTGAAACTTTCTAAATAATAAATGTGTATACACCCTGCCCCTTATCTTGCATTGTCCTAACATTTAAGCTTTGCTTATTAAAAATTATTTGTTTTATGCTTTTCTATCTAGATTGTAAGCTCTTCATGGGCAGTGGTCATATATTTTATGATTGTTACTTATCTAGAATGCAACATTTTATTGTGTATATAATGAGTACTTAGTAAATATTATATTCTTGGTTTGTGGTGCAGGGGTTAAGTGTAAATAAATAAGCAAGTAAATACTGATTAGAAAATAATTAAATACAAAG